CAGCCGCAGGACTGGACCGACAACGCAATAGAAGCGCACGAGGGGGGTGGTGATGAGCGGTAAAGATTGATCAATAACACAGGCAGGCAGACAGGCAGACAGACAGACACAAAGAGGCAAACAGGCACGCTGTAGGTGTGTGGCTGCTAGTACACACGCACGGTTTGGGTGGGAGAACTCTGCCATGATTTGTGCCTCGAGCAAGAAGAGGCGTCTGGCCTTCTCGTCAAAGTCCTGATCCGTGTGCATCGCCTTGACTGCCACCGCCATTGGGCGCTGTTGCTCCGGCGCGTACCGCGCAAGATACACCGACCCAAAGAACCCCTGCAGCAGTCGTGGGTGTTGCGTGTACGATGTTGCATTGGTGGAAGCGCGCGGGCGTCAGCAAGGGTGAAGCCAAAACGGCGGCACGGAGCGAAGACGGCAATTCAGGAACACAAAGTGACCAATGGTGTATAAGCACGAGCTCGCGAACAAAGATACGCTATTGCATGGAATTGCAGCACGCACACAGACAGATAGATATAGACAAAAACACAGACACACAGACACAGACACACAGACACACACAAACACACACACACACACACACACACACACACACACACACACACGTACACACACACACAGACAGAGGCGCACCTTGCCCAGTTCTGCGATGAGGGTGAGCTTGTCACGCTGGACCTGCTTGTCCTTCATATCCATTTCAATGTCCGGCACGTTGACCTTGGACGAGGACGTGAGCTGCTGGTGGTGGTGGTGGTGCTGTGCGTCACCATCTGTTGTGCTGCTGCCGCCAACGTCAATCTCAACGTTTGCATAGCGCTTGCGTGGCGGTGGGGCGGGCATGCCTGCGTCCTCGCTCTTGCGTGGTGGGGGTGCCGGTGGCAGCGTGTTGTAGTCATCGCGAGCATCTCCTGCTGCGCCGCTGTGGCCATGGTGGTTGTGGTGATTGCTTGCAGCGGCGCCGTTGGGCTGCATGTACTCGCGTCTGGTTGCGTTTGCGTTGTTGCCCCGCGTCAGGCTTGGCGGTGGCATGCCGTTCGCACGCGGTATCCTCTTTGTGGGCCGCGGCGGCAGTGCAGAGCTCGTGCTCGCTGGTGGCTCAGGCGCTGCTGGTTCGCTGCTTGAGACGCGTGTTGACGGCGGCCGCTGCGGGGTGTTTGAGCGCGGGACGGGCGCGCGTGCGGCGTTGGCCGGACTGCGACGCACGGTCACTGTTGGCGGCAGCGCCCGCTTGGCCTGCGGGATGACATCGGCCTGTGCAGGCTTGGGCTTTTGCGTGTGCGTGTGCGGGTTGCTGAGATGGGGAATGGACGGGTCGCTGGTGGGTCGCGTGCGCACGGTGGGCTTGGCCGCCGGAACAAGCGGAGGCTGCGACGGTGCTGCTGCTGTTGGTGGCGGTGGCGGGGAAGTGCTGGGGGCTGCCTCCGCTGTTGTCGCGGCCACAGCAGCGCCCTGCTGTCCCGGGAGCGGCAGCGGCGGTCTGGATGCGGGGTCGCTGAACGTGGTGGTGCAAACCAACATTGGAGGGAATAGTCGAGGAGGCGCGTGTAGGTGAACGGTGTGATGTGAACGGTGTGATGTGAACGGTGCGAGGTGAGGGTCGGAAAGGAAGGGATGTGAAGTACAACGGGGGGGGGGGAATGTTGGGAACCAAGTGAGGAAAGGCGGAAGGAGGCAATGGGCAGTCGAAACAGGTGAGGCGGTTCAAAGGCTGCAAGAGTGCATTTGGGTTTGGAGAGGCAGGCCTGGCAGCGTTGCGAGTGTCACTGACACTGGCACCCTCTGCGGTGCACGTGTGAGGACGTACGATGGTTGCTGCGAGGACACGGTGGAGGCATGCCGCGATGGGCCATCGTATGCCGGGTTTGTTTCCATGGCTGTTGTATGGCTGGAGTCCTCGTAGACGATGCGACTCTCGCCTCGCCGGTTGCTGCGAGACACACACAGCGTGCCCAATGCCGCAGTGGCGGCGACAAGGGCGAGTACACCAGCGATGACGCCTGCATGCCACACGCCATCATCTGTGTCATCAACCTGTGCCTCATACTGGTCACCTGCTTGGCGTGAGTGTGAGTGAGTGTGAGTGTGAGTGTGAGTGAGTGTGAGTGTGAGTGTGAGAGCCATGTGTGGGAACGTCCTGCAGGACACTCACTGGCAGTGTTTGCAGAGTGCAGCATCAAAAAGGAACACACACACACACACACACGCACACACACAATACACATGTACACACACACACACACACGCACACACACAATACACGTGTACACGAGGGACAACGGACCCACACCT